CCTTCTCTCTCTCTCCTTCTTCTTCTTCTTCTCCCTCCCCCATCCCCCATCCTCCGAGCGAGTACTCGCAGCCCGACGCAATGGCGGCCTGCTTCTCTGCCCTGACGGCGCCCGTCGGCCTGCTGTTGCTGCTGGTCCACGCCGTCGCTGCTCAGCAGTACGGCGCCGCTGAGCAGCAACCTCTCAGCAACTTGGAGTACGCCGAGGCCTGTCCCGACTACACCCAGTACTCGAGCTATCCCCAGTAGGTCGTCTCTTTACATGTCGTGTACCAACATATACACATCTGCGTGTATACATGTACGCCTAGGTATAGGTATATACGTATATATATGTATATATTCCCAGAGCTGACGCCGCGCCGCTCGACAGCCGCCCTTTGAGCGATGGCCCCCTCGCCCTCCCCTTCCAGCGGCCCAACCCCCGATGCCGGACCTTCCACTCGGATGCCATCGAGAAGGTCATTGAAGACGTGACCTCGCGCATGAAGGACCCGGACCTTGCGCGCCTCTTTGAGAACGCCTTTCCCGTGAGTCGAGTCGAGTCGAGTCCCCCCTCCCGGAAAGTCGCTGCTAACCGGCCGCCGCAGTCTACCACGGACACGACTGTCAAGTTCCACACCGCTGGGTCCTCCCCGCCCGACAAGAAGGGCAGCAAGAGCCAGCAGCACGACGGCGGCAAGTGGGAAGGCCCCCACTCGTTCATCATCACCGGTACGACACCTCTCCCCTGCCCTGCCCTGCCCTGCCCTACCCTTCCATGCCCTGCATGCCATTGCGCCTTACACCCCCGAAAGACACGGCCCCTCACTGACAAACCCGACCCCTCCCCTAGGAGATATCATTGCCGAGTGGCTTCGGGACTCGACGAACCAGCTCTCCCCCTACCAACCCCTCGCCAAGAAGGACCCGGCCGTCTTCAACCTCATCCTCGGCGCCGTCAACACCCAGGCCGAGTACGTCATCGAGTCGCCCTACTGCAATGCCTTCCAGCCGCCCCCCATCAGCGGCCTGCCCGTCAGCAACAACGGCCAGAGCGACGTCGTCCACCCGGCCTACGAGCCCTCCTCGGTGTTCGAGTGCAAGTACGAGCTCGACTCGCTTGCCCACTTCCTCGCCCTCGGCAACGACTTCTGGGAGCACACGGGCTCCACCAAGCACCTGAACACGCGCTGGTACATTGCCTTGCACACCCTGCTGAACGTCCTGGACCAGCAGTCCCAGCCGACGTTTGATCCCGACACCGGCAGGTATTGGCGGAACGACTACACCTTCCAGCGCACTACCGACACCGGCACCGAGACGCTGAACCTGCGCGGCGTCGGCAACCCGCTCAACCACGGCACCGGCCTGGTCAGGTCTGCATTCAGACCCAGCGACGACGCCACCATCCTCGGCTACTTCATCCCCGCCAACGCCATGATGGCCGTCGAGCTCAGGCGAACTGCCGCCATGCTGAAGGCGGCCGATAAGGACGACCTGGCGCAGACCGTGAGCAAATGGAGCAAGACCATCACCAGGGGCGTCTGGGAGCATGGCGTCGTTCACCACAAGAAGTTCGGCGACGTCTTTGCCTACGAGGTTGACGGCTACGGGTCGTCCATTCTGATGGACGATGCCAACTACCCGTCCCTTCTCGCCCTCCCCATCATGGGTTTCGTTGGCCCCGACGACAGGACGTACCAAAACACCCGGAAGATGCTACTGTCAAAGGAATCGAACCCTTACTACTTGACTGGAAGGGAGTTCCATGGAATTGGAGGTAAGTCGGACGTGGGAAAACGCCTCTTCCAACGCCAGCCGCTAATGATGCACTCTTACAGGCCCGCATATCGGCCTGGACAACGCCTGGCCTATGAGTCTACTCGTTCAGGCGCAGACGACAGACAACGACACCGAGATAGCCGAGTGCATTGACCTGGTCCTGAAATCCGCCAAGCTCGGGCTGGTCCACGAGAGCGTCGATGTCAACAGTGTGAGTGCATACACGAGAAGCTGGTTTGCTTGGGCAAACGGTGTCTTTGCCGAGACTATCCTGGACATGGCGAGAAGGAAACCACATCTCATTTTCACGGACGATACCCCGTACGAGATATGAGGGCTCGGATTAGAGAAGGATGACGTCGGTACGAAATTAACAAACGATTGCTACGAACGATTTCGGCGACTGCGCTGTCGATCTCTGTTGATCTCAAATACCCCTTTGGACAGTTGAGTTCTCGTCTCATTTCAAGACCTGAAGTAGATTTCGAACAAAAGTCTGCAGAACCAGGCATGGGGGTCAAGTCCTCTCTTGTCGAGCGGTGGCCGACCCTAAGACGCCGACCTCAGTCTGGCCAGAGAGGACATTTGGACTGTCTAGAGAAATACTTAGGTAATGAATGGGTGATCATTCGCGAAATGCCCGCAGTGTCGGCCTCTTACATGACATCAAAGTTACATGGAGAGGCGGAACCTAGCATTGAGCCTTGTTGTGATACACAATTGGCAGAATAGACGGAGAGAGACGAGGAGGTGGGGGGTAACAAAAACCCGGCTAGACAAGGCGAGCGTCTGTCTATCTCCTTAACTTTCGAACATATACGCATGGAATATGTGAGGGAGAGAGGCAACAAAACTCGCCGGCTTACCCTTGACCCAAGGTGAGCATGGGGAGAAAAAGAAAGGTCCTCCTGGGGGTCGAACCCAGAATCTCCTGATTGATCGCATGGAAACCATCGTAGTCAGACGCCTTGCCATTGGGCCAAAGGACCGATGATTGGTTGTTGGAAACACCGCGACTTATTGATGCATATGTCGCACACAAACTAGGGCTTGCAGCCCACTGAAGAGTGGATTGCAAACCTCCACCTCTCCACTAGAGTGCAAATTAGTGAGTGAGGACAAGGTACATACAACGCGCGCAAACTAGCCCATCATACTCGACCTCGGGAGTCAGTTACAAGATTTTCTGCATAATTTGGCTACGCGTAAGCGAAGACTGGTTTGTTGCATCATGCGGTCGGTTGCTTCATATTCAACTCTAGGAAAGCGCCACTACACGATTTACACTCTATGTTCTCCCGATTTTCCTCGTTGCATAGGTAAAGGATGTTGCACTCTCAAACTTCTCTGGCGACAGTATAGATTCTCGCGATACTCAGCTGGGTAATCCATCAGTGGAACGTAACCCGGACCTCGAAGATATGGCGCCTCATCTGACCGTCCCCAGCATTTGGATTCTCACCACTGCCTTTGGGTTTTGTATTTCTCTCCAACAACGTTGACTTTACTTCCAAGATCCTGATCCGCTCCTTCCACTCGTCCCCTTGGGCCACTCCATTCCATAGCTGCTTCCAGCTCTCTACGTTGTGGCGATACTTGTGACTGAACTCCTGCGTCATATTCTCTCGCAGGAATGGCCCGGCGATCACGCTGCCCACTTGCATTCCCAGCAGCAAAACGGGACCACCGGAGTCCTTCCTCAGGAGACGCAGGCAGCGATCAACGACCTTTTTCTGGTCCTCGTACGTGAAAAGGTGGAAAACTGCAGTCATGTGTAGAATCGTCACCTTGCCATCCAGCACGTTAAGCCGATCCTCGGGCGAATCCGAGAGCAGGTCTCCTGGACACAGAAAACGCTCCTTTGGCAGTCTGTCTTCGTCGTTGAACAACTCGAATCCCATGTCAATCAGGTATTGGTCAATATCGCTTGCCCACAGCCGCTCCACCGGTGCCCCGTCGTACACGAGCTTGCGTAGGTCTTGGCCGAAGCAAGACCCGAGATCTAGAAACAGAGGTTCCGCTTCCCCGTCTTGCTTCGGCCTCTTCAGTGGCTCGAGGACATACTCCTGGTACAGGGGATGAGCAGAGAGATCAAAGTCCAAAAAGCGCATATTTCCTATACATGGATATGGGCAGCGCTTGTACGCGGCGTTGCGCACTTTCACGATATGCTTGACCTGTGCGTCCTTTGGCACATGGGAGTACGATTCCAAGACCTCCGAGATTGCCCTCGGAACAGTCTCGAGCGATTCTTGAAAGAACGACGTGTAGGTCGACGGCCTATCATTGATACTATCAACCATTTCGTATTGGTCGGAAACAGATTAACTGAGCTCGAGGGCTGGATTTACGCCGTCTGATGCAGGAGATTAACCTGGCTTCCACTCGACGTCATTGCCCATCACAGGCAAGTCGAGACCATCCAGTGATTGGCAGTGGTCCGTGCACATTATTCCCTTCGCATAGATAAGGAATATTAGTATATCGTTATGCCAGCAGATCGCCGCACATGTTTTCTTTGTATAAACAATTTTGAATACTCGACACTCGGCTATTTCTTATATGCCTTGGGCTTGACAGGCGTCTATACAGTTCGCTTGCCCATCGTCCGAGCAGATGGATGATACTACCGGCTTCACGAAGCAACGGAAGCAATTGACCCTTGGCACGATGCAGAAGGCCTGGAGACTTCCATTACTCTACTTTGGCGCTTGTGTATGCGGAGCCTTGCACTTTTGGGCGACGAGTAGAGTCCGGTTATTCTAACTACTGGCATTGACATTGTGTATAAACGCAATCGAGTACCTGGGTTTTGGTATTGCGACCGGATGCTAGCAGTATAGTCCGCTCTGGAACCACCGACGGTTTCCGACCGGCCATGGCCGGAGCCGCTTAGGCGCAGGCGGAACTCCAATTATGTCGATATCGCTCCCGTGTGCCACCAAATAAACACATTTCTCACTGGACCCGAGACGGTCGACGTCCTCTCTCAATTCTTCACCAATTTCAATTGTTATCAACACTCGCTTGCTTGCTGCCTCGAGGATGGTCCAAACTTATAGCATGTGGGTCGCTGGCCAAGAGCGACCCGGGAAAGCGGAGCTGTAGGTGGGCGCGCAACCCGATGTTCAGGCATAGTCGACTGACCTTGGAGCAGGGTACCCGTTGAGAATCCGGCGACAGGCGAGATATTTGCCACGTGAGCAGAGCCTCACCGCTGCTGTCATTTGTTTACTAACCTGCTCTGGAGCTGCCATGCTGCGAGCGTAGAAGACGTCGATGAAACTGTTCAGCTTGCACATAAAGCTTACAAGTCCGGGGTCTGGGCGAAGGCCACGAGGTCATTTCGAGCAGATGTCTTGGACCGTGCTGCTGGGTTGCTCACGGCCAACTTCTCCGAGCTCATCCCGCTCGAGGTACTCCAGACGGGGCGGGCCATCCGCGAAATGAACGCCCAGGTCCCGTCGCTTGTGAGATGGTTCAAATACTACGCAGCCTTCCTCCGAACCGAGGAGAGAGCGGTTCTGCCTACCATGGGGAAGCTACACAACTGGGTTGATCGGGTGCCGCTTGGAGTTGTCGTTCAGATCACCCCATTCAACCACCCGCTACTAATCGCGGTCAAGAAACTTGCCCCGGCCCTGGCAGCTGGAAACAGCGTGATCGTCAAACCGAGCGAGCTCACCCCCTTGACAACCATACTGCTTGGGAAGCTTCTGAAGGAGGCAGGCTTGCCAGATGGCGTGTTCAATGTACTCCCGGGTTATGGTGCAACAACGGGCCGTGCGCTTGTGCAACACCCTCTCGTGCGAAAAGTCGATGTCACAGGAGGTACGGTCGCTGGCCGAGCAATTGGCTCTATCGTTGGGGGCAATCTGGCCAGGTTTACCGCTGAACTGGGCGGCAAGGCGCCCCTTGTCGTTTTCGAGCAAGCCGACCTCGATGTGGCTGTTAATGGGATCGCCTTCGGTTCTTTTGTTGCCAGTGGGCAGACTTGTGTTGCAAGTACACGTATAATTGTGGCAAATCAAGTTCTTCCGGCGTTGCTGGAAAGGCTCAAAATGAAGGCTGAATCGATCACAAGGCGGATGGGATCTCCGACCAATCCAAAGTCCATGATGGGCCCTCTGATATCTTCAAAGCAGCTGAGAGGAGTTGAAGCTTTGGTTGACGAGGCAATCACCAGTTGCAAAGCCCAAGCACTAACGGGGGGGAGCAGAATGGCGGGCCAAAGCCAGTTGGATGGCACCGACTTCTCCAAGGGATATTTCTTCAGTCCGACCGTGCTCGTCTCTACCCAGGGCGACAGCATCTTGGAGACCAAAATATGGCGCGAAGAGGCTTTCGGACCGGTGATTGTAGTTGTTGGCTTCGACACAGAGGAGCAGGCAATCTCGTTGGCCAACGACAGCGAGTTCGGACTGGGTGCGGCGGTATGGACCAAAGACTTGGCACAGGCTTTCCGCGTGACAGAGCAGATCGAAGCTGGGATTGTGTGGGTAAATACACATCACCGCAATGACCCTAGTAGTCCTTGGGGCGGGGGTAAATCATCAAGCGGTGTTGGGAGCGAGAACGGCGTCGACGCATTCAACGAGTATACGACCATGAAGAGCACCATCATCAACTACGCAGCGGCAGAGGAGTCTCTGGCATCTGATGACTGGTTCCAGGAAGGGAGCGGTGACGTAAGATATGGATGAATGTCTTTTTTTGGAGGGGAGAAGGGGGGGAGAGGGGCCTACAGCAGCCGGCGCCTTGGCTATCAAAGACGAGCGTAGCTAAATATACTGGCCAGGGCATCTTTCTCATTGGCAGTAATGACAAATGCTGACTTAACAATAATTAACTTAACCAATAATATGCCGAAGACTTCCCATTCATCCTTGAAGCAAAGGTGGTGGGTTACCCCAAAGTATGCATTCCTCTCGCCTGGGGACGGATATTCCGCCTATAGAGGCCTTGGTATGTATGTGTCCTCGGCACAGCACGATGAACTTGGTAGACTTAATCCCACGATGATTGAAAGAAGACGGCGATCCTCCCAACCCCTCATATGTCTCCGCTTGCCTGGCCATCGAGATAATTCCTGTCTGGTGGCATGTCCGCGCCTCAACGTCCGACGCCCATACCCCTTTCCCTATTTTCCAATATCAACGAATCCACAGAGGCCCACGACTGATCATATAGTCTACGTGGGCTGTCGGACACCCTGAACGTGGGCGCTTGTTATTTGGCCAGAGCGATAAGCGTTTCTCCATCGACGTGGCCAAAAAGTCACGAGGGCTTCTCTCGGCCAGGGGCTCCGTATATTATGGCTGAACTGTGCACACTTTTTGCCTTTGAGTTCTAACGTCCCCACAATTGGTTGGTAAGAGGCTTTGGGTCAAATGAGCCAGGCTCTCAAACTGCGGGTTGGGGGCACCGAGGAGTCGTCTGGGGTGAAATACACGCGAATAAGCAAACCTGTGCTGTACCCACCCGCAGCCTGCGTGAAACGAATCTGTGCCACACTACATCCAGGAAAGCCCTCTAGCAGGCAACCAAATAATGCTTATCGGGCATGTGATGATATATCTGCAATAACCCCAACATGTATTTCATGGGACGCTGTCATACGGTTCAAGCTTTCATCTATCATATGACTGAGCTGTCGTGATACTCACTCCGCACGCGAGACGCACGGCTAGACTGGGCAGTCAAGAGCTGGCCGGTTTGATGTAAGCAAGATGCAACAGTATTCACTGATATTTGGCTTTGATTTGGGTCACGTATGGATCGTTTGTCTAACCGCATGCCGGCTCGTCCCCTGCAGGTAATGACGCAGTGGCAGACGGTCCACCGTATGCACCTCCGTCTAGAATAACGCTCTCGTTGTTGTCTTGGTCGTCTTGCACTTTCCGCCATCTAGTCTTGCGGTCCTTGCGACCTTCCAGCTCGGCACCCTTCCCCTTTGCATCAAAGACAGGCTTGATAAGCCCACCCAACAGGGGATTCTGGGAGAAAGCCCCAGCACCAGAACCCCTGTTGCCATTGGTCTCCTTCAGGACTGGTGCTGGCGAAGCCTCGATCTCGTCATCCGGGCTTTCAGGCCGCTCAATGGCGGCCATCTTACGGACGACCTTGCCGCCCACAACATCGATACTCACCACCTGTCTCCGCTTCTCGTAGTCCGGCTTCGCATTCCATTCCATCTCTCGCATGATCTTCTGCTGCCGTTTCAGCTCACGGGCCCTCTCTTCGGGACTTGCCCATATGTTGCCGCCCGTGCCTGCCACGGCGCCGCTAACGTCAAAGTCAGAGGCCTCATCTCTCACGGTTGTGCGTCTAGCATTCTGGGCCTGGAAGCCGAGGAGTTTGTCGCGGTGCTCTAGTGCCTTGGCCTCGGCACCGCCAAGGTTGTCGTCCGTTTCCCGGGGCTTTGTAAAGGGTGCAGGAGTGCGAGACACTGCTGCCTTTTTGTGCGCCACCTTGTCGGCTGCCATCCTCTCACGGCCGCGCTCCTGCTTGAGCTCGTGTATCATGGACTGGACCTCGGCGGCACTCAGTAGTGGGGTTCCACAATATGTGCAGGGTCCGAGGCCCTCCTTGACGCAGATGACCTTTCCACAGCTCAAGCAGTTGGGCGCGGCGGCAAGCAGAGGATGCCGTGCGGCAACGCAGTTGCACCGTCTTGCGGCATCATCTGTGTCTCTGGTGGGGTTTGTCGTCATCTCCAGGGTCCGAATGGCAGCATCGAGGTCGGACAAGGCAGTGGAGGCCCCGTGCATAGCAGTGCCACCAGATATGTTGACTTTTGCTTTGGGGGCCGGCGTCGACGACCGGGACGCCGGTGTAGACCTTGGCTTCGGCTTGGGGCCATCCGAGATCAGCTGGCCGGCGGCCGAGGGGGGAAGCTTCTGGGGTGGAGGGTTTGCGGGCTTGGATGATGGTCTCGACAGGGCAGGCGACGCAAAGCCGCTGGACCCCGAGGCTGGGCTTGGCCTGCGCGAGATGTAGTCACCCTGGATGTCCTTCTTGCTGTAAGCCGTGCCCGGTGCAGGCCCCAGGTCAGCGACTGCACGCGGCGGTGGAGTATGCAGCGGCGCCTTTTTCTTCTTGGGCGCGCGGGCGTGCTTTGGGACGGCGCCATGGTCCGGCCGGGACGACTGCGGCTGCGACTGTGCTGTTCCCGAGTCCCTGGGCGCCTGCCGCCGTGAGTTGAACGACGATATAAAGTCGATGGCGTCTGGTGAGTCACCGAGCAGGTTCCCGAAGTGCTCAACAGCTTCTGGTTTGGACAAGGTGGCCGCATAGTCCAGAACCTGCTTCAGCTCCTCTTCGGGCAGGGGAAGCAGCCTGGAGAGCTGTGTTGCCGACATGTCTTGTTCTTTCGACTTGTGCACAACTTTGGGGATCCTGAAATTCTCTATCTACCACGCGCGAGACGGATGAGAATACCCGACTGACCATGGCTTGACTTCGGGTACCTGGGTAGCGAGTGACGTGAGGCCATCCAATGCACCTAGTGATGCTCAGCCTCGGGGTTGGTTTTAGTCAAGTGAGTCTACGCCGGCGTCTGTCAGGCACCTAAGTTGATTAATTACTTACTCCCCAGGCCCAGGCCCAGGCCCAGGCCCAGGCCGCCACCGCTGGCGATTTGCGTCCCTTCCCCGCCCGAGGATCTGCCGCCTCGCCACGATCGAGACGAGCCAGACTGTCTGTCTATACGTAGTCATTTATGTGCGTCTCCAAGTAACCTAGGGACATTCACCTAATTTACCCAAGCAGGGATCCATGCCAGCCGTATTCTTGCCCTTTGCTATTCTTCTTCGTCGCCACCGTCGCTGTGCCATCAAGAATGGCAACCGGGTTACTTATAGCTCTATATGGCGCCGCCAGGTTTGGTCTTTCATCTGTCGCAACGCCCATCTACACCCACAGCCGGGTTCCCCGGTTATGCACCTCTGCTCTTTCGAGCCGCACTCTTCATATATGAAGAATGGCTGTCCTCGTTTATCCGTCTGGCAGCCCATTGGTGCAGATTGGACTGGTCTCTATAGCCGCTAACACCCAATTCCTGGCCCTACTATGGTCCTGCCCCAGCCAGTTGAATACTATAGTGAATCAGGGAATGATCAACTCCACCGTCATGGGTAAAGACAGTCTCGAACCCATCCATCCGTCCAATACTACTATAATGTAACCCACAGTGCTGTTCTACAGCTCGCTGGCCCGCATTCAGGCAATGCAACGAGCCACCCGGGATATCACTTTGGGCTGTACCAGGCTGTCTACCCATACTCAGCCACCATATACCTGGACTCCAACCATTGACTCTCGTGTGCCCTGATGCTGCATTGGTATATGATCGGTGGCCACAAAACATGACCTTGGCAGGGGAAGTATATAGCAAAAGCGCCTTCCTCTCGGACACTCCCCCCTGCGGGCGAGGACTGCCAACCACACTTTCATTTTTTTTCTTCATCGTCTAGTTCTCTCTTGTGAGACCGCAATGGCGCTGTCTCTCTTGCTCGTCGGGTTGGCCACCTCTTGTCTGGCCCAGCAAATTGGCAAGCTCACTGCCGAGGTGCACCCACCATTCCGGAGTGAGAGATGCACCGTTGAGGCCGGCTGCACCGCTCAAAACACCTCCATTGTACTAGATTCTGATTATCGTTGGACTCACACCGTCAACGGCTACGACAACTGTAAGCCCGACGGGCTGGATACCGCTCTGTGTCCCGACGCGAAGACGTGCTCTGCAAACTGCGCCCTCGAGGGCGTCAATTATACGAGCTACGGCATCGACGCGTCCGACAGGTCGCTCACCCTTAAACTCTTCACCGACGAGAATGGCGTCACAAAGATGTCCTCTCCGCGCGTCTACCTGCTCAACGAACACTCAGAGTACGAGACCTTCTCGATGTTGAACAAGGAAATAAGCTTCACGGTCGACGTGAGCAAGCTTCCCTGCGGCACCAACGGTGCTCTATATTTCAGTGAGATGCTAGCCGACGGCGGGAGAAGCGACCTGAATCCCGCTGGTGCCTCCTATGGAACAGGCTATTGCGACGCCCAGTGCCCTACACCTGCATTCATCAACGGCGAGGTTCGTGAACCCCGGCTTGGACTGGGACTGCCCGCTGATATTGTCCGCCCAGGCAAACATAGAAAAGCATGGTGCTTGCTGTAATGAGATGGACCTGTGGGAGGCGAATTCAAAAGCGCAAGCTCTGACACCCCACCCCTGCAACATCACACAGGTCTACAAGTGCAGTGGTGCTGCCTGTGGGACTGGCAACAAGTATGCTAGCGTCTGTGACAAGGACGGCTGTGATTTCAACCCCTATCGGCTTGGACAGACAAGATTCTATCAACCAAATGCCACCGTCGACACGACGCGACCCTTCACCGTGGTGACTCAGTTCCTAACAACGAATGGAACTGACCAAGGCGACCTGAAGGAGATTAGACGATTGTATGTCCAAGATGGCCGAATTATTGATAACGCGGTAGTGTCTGCTGCTGGCTTTAACAGGGAAAATTCACTTACGGACGCCTTTTGTGCGAAGGAGAAGCAGGTATTCGGCGGTGTCAACGCGTTCGCGAATCAAGGTGGGCTGAGAGGCATGGGGGAAGCACTCCGCCGAGGAATGGTCCTCGTATTCAGCATTTGGGACGATGCTGGAAGCGCAATGAAGTGGTTGGATGGAACTTTTCCTACAGATGCTGATGTCAAGACTCAGCCTGGCACCGGTCGAGGTCCATGTGCAGCAAACGAGGGCTCAGCCCAATCCATCAAGGAGAAGTCCCCTTGGGTTCAGGTCACCTTCTCGCAGGTCAAGAGCGGTGAGATAGGATCAACCTTTGGACCGAAGGGGGTGAAAGGTCTTGTGCCAAGGATCCGCGGAGGCGCGTTACCTCGATCCCTCAAGCCGCTCTTCCTCAACACGACTACAGTCAATATTCGACCGACGGCGCCGCAAATCCCTACTACGCGGAGACCGGCTCCTACTGGATCTAGTAGACCGACAGCCTCTCGATCAACGTCGAGAAGCCTGACAATTCCCATCCCAACGCTTTCGCTGCCCACCGGTAAGGGTCGGCCTACGCCCCCTATCCCTCCAACGGGACCAATCATCCCATTGCCAACAGGAAGACCATTGCCTCCCACCACCGGCCGATCAAGGACAACGCGCAGTGGCACTAGGCTCCCGACATCTTCATTGCCAAAGCCTACCCTACCAACAGGCAAGCCCGGACCAAGTGGTCCCAACCGACCGACAACGACCCGATCACGAACCCCCATACCAACGGGTCCGACGAGACCTACAAGGACAGTTCCGAGACCCAGCGGCACAAGCAGGCCTACACCACCTTGGAATACCCCGACAACAAGAACAGGAACTAGACCCCCAACTCCTCTGCCCACAACCTCTAGGATATCTACAAGCACGAAGCCACCCGGGTCTGGCTCAAAGTCCTCGACCAGCACCTCACAGACATCAACGAGCACAAGACCGACAACCACTGGCTCGACTTCCACAAGAAAGCCCACCACAGCCATTACCACAACGACCACCACGAAGGTATCATCCTGGATTCCGGGCGGGCCAAGTCGACCGACATCGACAACAACTACTGACCCTTGGTGGCCTGGGGACCCCGATGATGGTGATTCAGATGACGACGATGATAATGACGATGACAGCGATGATGATGACGAGGAGGAGGACGACAATGATTGGAGATGGAATGATGATGACGATGATCATGATTTCGATGGCGAAGACGATTGGCGTCCGTGGCACTGGAGGCAAGGACATGGCAGAGGGAGGGGCTGGTGGAAAAGGGATGGCGGGAATAACTAGCAGAACCTGCACCCGAGTGGCATACCTGAACAAACGAAATGCATTTCAGAGGCTGCTTTAGGCTTCGCAGTATAGTATTCCGTCGAGAACTACTCTACCGTGTAAACCTTGGGAAGTCTAATGCAAGCTAGGGGCCGTTTGGAGCACATTGCCTTAGGAGACCCTGGCCCGATAAGGTTGCCTAGGATAGAGTCGATTGGTTAACACGAGTCTGCAGACAAAGGCAGCAGACAGAGTGACTATGTTGCTGTGAATGCTCGTTACAGCTGTAGTACTGCATACGTGTCGCCCTCGTCGGCCAGCTCACAATCGATCATACAGTAAACCACGCCAAGACTCGACTCTGAAGGTTGCTGGTCGACATCTAATATTTTGATCTTCTAGGCTATATCCTCATGATACGACGGGTGCTGAGCAGGTGGCGAAAGCTGCGTCAAGCATAGGACTGCTGCGAGGTAGCGATAATAGCTAGCGAAAACACACCAGGCTCCAAATGTATAGGCATGGCTATAATGCTCTGCGCATAAGGAGATATGGCACTTCCCCTTTGTAGAAGGTATCACCCTCTGCTTGCATCCCAAATCGCTGGTAGAATGGGAGTGCCGAGCTCCGTGCATCACACCAGATTGAGCCAGCACCAGTCTGTCTGGCCGCTGCAATCGTATGCTGTAGCAGTGCCGACCCAACTCCCTTGCCTTGCCATGGCGCAGCCGTTGCGAATTTGCGGAAGCGGGCGCTCTCACCGTCTGGAAACAGTGAAATGACGCTCACGAGCTCGCCGCTGACAAAGGCGCCGAAATGCTGTCCGGATGCGTCGTCCGGTAGCTGCACGTATTCCGCGGGTCGGTCAGGCCATAGAACGACATGTCGAAGGGGATACGTGTCTGCCGCATGGATGGCTCGAATGGACACCGTGACTTCTCCCATGACCCTTTCCGTAATCTGGGGTATTGCAGGTTTTGACTCACCAGCAAGGAGGTATTACCTTCGGCGAAGGGAATTAGCGGGTCACGTGACGCAAGGCTGGCAAAATACCACAGGGCTACGATGTCCAACGCTTCTTTTTTTTTTTTTTTTTTCCGAGAGTGTATATTGTTCCAGAGGTTTGAGGTTTTGAATAGTGACTGCTTGTGATAAGGGGTTCCTGCCACGTCAGATTTAGCGAATGCAATAGCGATTGCCTTTGCCCAAAGGACCAGTTGATTTCCTCCTTGGGACGGAAGTTGTTCTGCATGGACTGCAGCCTTGCCTCGGTGACGTCCTGCTCGGCACCAGCTATAATGTCAGACTCTCCTCCCTGTGAGATGTTGGGTCATGGTGAGTCGGCAATCAACAAAGGGTGTTTGACTATATGTTACCTTGGTTGTCCGAGATAAACTACCAGAGTAGTCGGCAGGTAAGCTCCCTCTACAAGATAAGTCGGATTTATGTTGGCGGTGCCTTGTCGGGATGGGTTGTGTCATGGCGACATTCCTGGGTTGAGGGTGTACGTTCTATGTAGAATGGGGCTGATTGCCTCATGGGATCAACCTAGGAGTCCGAAGCACAGTACAGACCCAACAAGTAAGAGGGCAAGGGTCCTGATCTTAGCGGACGCGATACACCCATCGTAGAAGTCCGGCTATACATCGTTGGAGGACTATTAAATAATGCACCGCGGGGCAGCGGGCTAGCATCTTCTGCAGTCGTAAGATCTCATTCCCCTGGCCTACGTGTACGAGCAGCTTCTTGTTTGCAAGCCCCCACATATCCATCACAGCGTTACCATTGCAGTGGGCAGCAAAGACTGGTACTATACTGTACTTAATAAGTACTGGGATAAGTATTGCTGTATGCCGTGCCGCAACCTCGTTGGTGGTCGGCCTCCACTTGTATCGTTGAGCTTGCACTCACCAGAGACAAAACTGTCTAGCCGACGTAAACAAGTACGGAGCATAATGCCTAGGAATACAAAGTGGGCTGTGGTAATGTTGGTGTTCTGTTTTCCTGATGCTTAGATACGCAATTCTAGCTTTCCACAGAGTGAAAGCGAGACTGGACTGCTAGGAATGTGTCGTGCTGGGGCCAGACTGCAACGGCGTTACCAAGTGAGATTGAAATGGTGGTTTAAATCCGACCCTGACTATTGCATCTCGTGAATCCTTAAATTGCAGTGGTCAGTTCTGTCATCACGCCTACCGGTCCAGGTGGCTTAGTCGCCCTACTATAAGAGGTCATGGGTGGTTGCGCATTTCCAATCCGGCTGGGAATAGTTAAATACACCCGCTTAGGCTTGCTGCGAATAGCCCCAAAGTTTTGTCCATCGCCGGCAATGTAACCGTCTCGGGAAGAAGTCATGTTTCCGAAGGACAACGAAGCCGGTGAACCAATAGGCGGCATAGTAGGGAGGTGTAGGCTCCCTCGGTGTCCTAAACACCGCCGAATATGCCAATGTACGGGTGAAGCGCCAAGACCCCAAGCTTATCACCGAGTTGCGTAAGATCAATGTACCAACCTGAGTCGTTCCACCAAAAATACCCAACGCCAGATAATCATGACCATCTGAAGCCCGTGGATGCAAGTGAGGCCAAAACTAGTACTTGCGCTTCTCTGCCGTATTGGACCCTTGGCCTCGATGCAGAACAGAACAACGGCGAGTAGGCTTTCCGAGGAAGAAGAACAAGGGCAGAGGCAGAACCCGCCACGAGCTAGATGCGATCGAGAATGACAACACTCGTCGTGTCTGGCACGAGAAAGATAAGCAAGCCTCCGAGGCACGGAGTAGCTCCAAACACACATGGGTGGACGGGAAGGAGTTGCGGCGCTGTAAGTCGCGCGCACGGGCTCAATGGGGCAATTCGATGCGGTTATCTCCAAGAAAAGCCCCACCCCGGCGAAAGGGGATAGCCCATGCCTTTCCCCTACTGGCCATGACATGCGAGATGCACCACACTGCCGATAGCTGGAGGCGTATCTCGAAGCCCCCATGCTGCGAAGCTTGCCACGTGTAGAAGTGCCCGTAAGTCGCCAATGCTAGCCGGAACCTAACTGAGCGAGTGCCTACCTTGCTTGCTTGCCTTCTCAGTGAGCCAGCCGTGATGAGACGGCCCTCTCTTTCCCCGCCCTGCATCCTGGCTCGTGGTTCACCATGTCCGTCATCACGGTTCCCCGCCATCCCCGCATGCGCCCGAGTGACTGGTGGTGCCCTACATAAAGGCCTCCGAGACGCCCGCCGAGCTCCTGTCAGCTCGCGGCCACGCTGTATTCAGACTCTAGCTCCAGTCCCGAGGCCCACCGTCTCCCGTGCTGTTCCAACACCTGTTCTGCCGCCGTCGACGCCCTCGTCCTTGTCAAGCATCCGCCATCTCTCGTCAACCTCGACCATGGCCGGCCTCTCGGTGGACCTGACGGCCCCCAATGGGAAGAAGATCACTCTTCCCACCGGGCTCTTCATCAACAACGAATTCGTCAAGGCATCATCCGGCGACAAGATTGCGAGCATCAACCCTTCGTAAGTCTGGGCGCGCCCTGCGTCTTTCATCCAACCGACGCGATGGGCACTGACACCTCCTACCAACCTAGGAATGAACAGGTCATATGTGAGGTAGAAGCCGCCTCGGCCGAAGATGTTGACAAGGCGGTCAAGGCCGCCCGCGCGGCACTCAACCATGAGTCCTGGAGCGATCTACCAGGCACCGACAGAGGAATTCTGATGAACAAGCTGGCCGACCTGGTCGAGGCCGACAAGGAGATATTGGCCACCCTCGAGACCTGGGACAACGGAAAGCCCTACAGCGTCGCATTGGAAAGTGACCTTGGCGAAGTCATCTCCTGCCTTCGTTACTATGCCGGCTGGGCCGATAAGATCTTTGGCCAAACCATCCCAACTACGCCCCAGAAGTTTGCCTACACCCTTCGGCAGCCCATCGGTGTATGTGGCCAGATTATTCCGTGGAACTTTCCTCTAGCCATGGCAGCCTGGAAGCTGGGACCTGCCTTGGCTGGGGGAAATACCCTGGTCCTCAAGCCGGCCGAGCAAACCCCCCTTTCCATTCTATACCTGGCGAGCCTCATCCCGAAGGCTGGCTTCCCCCCCGGTGTGATCAATATCGTGAACGGATACGGCAAAGACGCCGGTCACGCCCTGGCGAGCCACCTTGACGTGGACAAGATTGCCTTCACCGGTTCTACCGCCACTGGCAAGCTCCTCATGAAAACGGCCTCTATCAACATGAAGAATATCACGCTGGAGACGGGTGGAAAGTCGCCGATTGTGGTGTTCGACGACGCTGATGTCGAGCAGGCTGCCAAGTGGGCGCATCTTGGTATCATGTTCAACTCCGGCCAGGTCTGTACGGCAACCTCTCGGATCTTGGTCCAGGAAGGCATTCATGACAAGTTTGTTGAGGCGTTCAACGAGCTCGTCAAGACCTCCAACAAGGTCGGTGATCCATTTGAGGAGACCACGTTCCAGGGCCCCCAGATCACCAAGGCGCAGTACGACAAGATCCTCAGCTACATCGAGACGGCAAAGTCCGAGGGGGCAACCCTCGCAGCCGGCGGTGTGCCACATACGGGAGTCGGGCAGGGTAAAGGGTACTTCATCGAGCCCACCGTCTTCACCAAGGTCACCAGCTCAATGAAGATCTATCGTGAAGAGATCTTCGGCCCATTTGCGAGCATCGCGTCCTTCAAGACAGAGGCCGAGGCGATCCAAATGGCCAACGACACTACGTACGGCCTGGGCGCTTCCGTCTTCACGTCGGACATCGAGCGTGCCCATCGAGCGGCCGCCAAGATCCAGAGTGGCATGGTCTGGGTCAACTCTTCAAACGACTCGGATTTCCGCGTACCTTTCGGCGGTGTTAAGCAAAGCGGTATCGGCCGGGAGTTGGGCGAGGCTGGCCTTGCCGCCTACACCCAAGAGAAAGCTGTGCATATCAACCTCGGGCAAAAGCTGTAATATGGGAGTGTGTATCTGTATCGAATCCATCAGACCGGCGCTTGCGGACTCGGCGTGTATTTGTCGCAGGCGCATTGTTGGGAGATAGCATATAAGGACAATCAGGGGATGGCTCCAAATCGGGAATTCAATCGCAACGGCCCGACCGGTGTTTACTTAATAAAGCGGTATTTTCTTGTGGAAGCTAAAGTACACAAAGCGCCGGCTGTCTATGAAGGCCGCTCTGCTCACGTGCACAACGTCAAATCTTATGGACTCACAAGCAGACAAAGGTGTCACCAAAGGGCCCCGACGCATTATCTACACAAACAATGCAATTCAAGTATGCCACCCAGGGATGCAACCTATAAAGCCCAGGCAGCCCCCTTATCTTCGTCTCCAATTCCATCATCACTTCCAATATTCAGCTGTTTCCTCCCGAAAGTCGTAGTAGTACCCCGAAGCGGTCAAGTTGCTCCTTTGGCCTGGACTTGGAAGAGAACAATTCTCTCCGATCGGATCATTCCTCATCATTGTTCACGTGCAAGCCGGCTTGCTCCTACTATTCGAGATGTACGGAGAGTGCTCTCAAATCATAGTCTACTATGCCTGCGGCTGTCGTCAGAGCAGCGTCTCGGTTTGCGGTCCGAGCTGTCCTCACACTTCGCCCCTTTTGAACGTCAGCTGCACTCACCAGGGGTGTAGTTCTCAGATTGGCAGACGATCCTGGCATGGGAAGCAATCAGGCCCCCGGAACAAAGTATGCCAATTGGCCAACCCAGATCGCTCGAGGTTTACCCGAGAGGAAGACACGGCCAACGCTTCTGATACACTTCTATTGGACGGAATTGAAGGCTTGACTGGCGAAGCTGTGAACCATGTCTGCCCCCCATTCACGACCTCCTTTTGGAGAGACGAAATCAAAATGCGCTACCGGTCATTCCGTGACATGGGAAAGATCCCAAGCAGCGTTGGTGTGATTGGCGGCCACCGTAAGCAAAGTCCTCCTCTCACGCCTCCACAAGGCGGGCAGAGTAGTGGTATTCATACTCACCTGGACAAATTCAAGACCCAACGAGAAGGCCGCCTTGATTTACTCGCGGATCTTAGGAAGGGATCAGAGCCCGACATGAATTGCGACTCCGCAGTCAGTCGGCCAAACCCTGGCCTATCGCCTTGGGGGCAAGCGGTCGCTGCCTGGGATGCTCGTGGAAAGTCCTCTCCCAAACTCGATCTGGAGGCTGGAAAAATATCGCGTCTCGGTAGGATCAGTGCGTTGAAAGGAGCTGCTTCCGCTCCTCGTGCGGCTCGCCCTCAGTTTCTGCGGCCAACCCGGTATGCGCCCGTGATAGATCCGGAATTTATGGCTATAAAATCATCTGCTGGTCCTTGCACCGGCACCTTGTTGCGTCAGGCGCCTGGAGCGCTTGGGTCTTGGTAAGCTGCTGCATTTCCTTGTAGACGCTCTCGCCTCTCTTGGTTTCTTCATTGGCTACATTTTGAAATATGAGTGCATTGTTCTAGGTAGGTGAAGTTTCTTTGTGTTGTCTAGTATAGGCTGTGGACGAAGGGGTTCCGGTACTGGAAAGGTTTCAGGTCAAGCTATCGCGTTGACATTCGACGAAAGTGAGTATTACCAATATATCGCTGCTTTGTAGAGTCGTAGCACATTGAGAGCCCGAGCTGTCTTCCTAATATACCTTGTTTACTGGGGATAGCCTAGGGGGGTGAAGCAGTATCTGTGCCCGAGCATGAAGTCGCCAAGCATATCCTTGCCTCGAAATGGGACATGGGCTTCGCCCGAATTTCACTCTTCTTCTGATATTTCAGATTCCATATCCCCGTCTGCTGGTGCTGTGCCTCGTGGGGATCCAGCCGCTTCGCCTGCATCTCTCGGCGTATACCTCGTCTCTCGGACCCAGTAGTTGTCCTCGCCGAATTCCTTGACCAGCGCCTTCCGTAGCGACTCCCAGGCCTCGCGGTCTCGCGCTCGCGGCTCCTCTTCCTCTCTTATTTTCTCTTCCGCGGCCAGCAACCGGGAGCCCGCGGCGTTGACCTTCCTCTTAGCCGAGCTAAGCCTGACCTCTGCGCTTGCCATCTTGTCCTGCGCCAACCTGGTATCCGCCTCATGTTCCGCCCTTGCCGCCACCTCGAACTTTTGGGTGTAGTGCCTGAGGTCAGCTTCCGCGGCAATTCTGGCTTTGGTTGCCTTCTGTCGGACGGATTTTGCTCTCCTGATCTCGGCTCTAGCATACTTGACCTTGGCCACACGCTGGCACCAGGCCGCCAGCTCGCGGTCATGTTCTTGGCGCTTTGTCACCCATTTCGGTGTCAAATCATCCAGGTCAGTCCAGCTTGTCCAATCTGGCCCTTCCGTCACGGCGCACGCCAGACTCATCACATGCGGGGGCTTGGGCTCCAGGCCCTTCTCGAGCGCTGCCTCAACCTGGTCGCACCATTGTTCCACCTTGTCGATAAAGTTCACGTTATCGCAATGTTGGACGGCAGCTTCATAGTCACGGTGCAGTGCCTCGCGTTGCCATGTAGCGTACCAGCGTGGGCACAGTCGTGCCATCTCCTCGGTGAACAGTTTCCGCAGCTGTGTCCGCTCGCAGTCTCGAAGGGCACGCCAGAAGTTCATCTTGAGACATTTTTGGTCACGGTCGTAGTAATGTCTGATCTGGGGCTCCGTAACTCGGTGCCGACCTTCGTGCAAGAACGCGGGCCAATCGCAGGCGATGGCTACTGGTATTGCTGGTACACTGCCCCAGCCGACAACGCCAGTCAATATGCCGTTCTCATTAACAAAAATATCGTCCGCCGAGAGATTTGTACGCCACAACATAGTCGGCTCAGGATCTGGATCTGGGTCCGCGTCAGCACCAATGTGATCTTTGAAGTCTGGTTTGAGTGGTTCCCAGGTTTTAATATGTTGCGCTGGGAGTTCATATTGTGTGTTGAGTTGGGAATCCTGCGTAGTACAACCATCACTCGCTCTTTGTGAGAGTTTGCAGATATTCCCACAGGCTATACGAGTTATGTCGGCAAGGTCAGGCTTTGCAATTGTATTGCAATAATCCGCACTAGTTTTGTCTCGTTGGTCGTAGTCAATCTGCATAGGAGTTGGCCAGCCATTCATATGCTGGTCCGTGTCTTGTACCGATGCCTGGCGCAAGTCGCCAGTCAGTGTCTGCTGCGTTTCGGGCCCGTATGCCGGATACTTCTTGAGGGCCTCAGTCTTGATCCTCCGGGGGAAGAGTACATCATACAACCTCCACAGCCGGGACCCAACCCCACTCATATTCAGCATGCGCCAGATCAAATCCACATCCTTCTTGGGGCCATTTTTCATCCCATGAAAGCGATCGCGAAGCTGTTCGTGTGCGATGTTGAGTCTCCGAAGGACCCACTCCCGAGTCGTGATGAATGGCCCCTGCTGACGCTCGATTTCGGGACCCCTATGCCAGAAAAAGCGTGGGCATACGATCCTGCCAACCTGGTGTCTCCTGACGGGGCTGGGAAGGGGTGAGGGATAGATGTTACCGATGCCGGTGAATTGGTGATTGTAAATATGTGCGGTGAATTCGGCTATACGCATCACAATGCGCTCTTTGGAGCCAAACTCCATCTCACACCAATACGAGGAGAGCGGCCGGCCTTCAATGCGTGTCATCAGAATCCATTCACACCCGATTGGGTTGTTTGCGGAGGAATCGTACTGGATAACGCGTGGCACCGAGAGGTTGGTGTTTTTGCGCATCCACCGCATTGTAGCGACCTCACTCTCGGTCTTTGTCCGAGGGGCGACGGGGAGCGTGACTTTCAACACGTACTCATGACCGCCATAGTCGACTGAGTAGAGTTTGCTGCAGGTTCCGCCCCGCATGGGTGAGATGTTGTATTGCTCGTTTGGCCTGATCCGGGACTTGAGTGCTGCCTCTATGGATTGGATCGTTGGGCTCCACTCCCATTTGGGTGAGACCTTGAGACCATCCACCGCCCATCCGAGAGGGCTGCCCCATTCCACAGAGGAGGTGCAGACAGTGGTCTGATGAGTATCATTTTGCTCAGTTGACTCGGTCGTGTTTTTCTCGTCTGGGTTATTGGGTGGACAGATTGCTTCCTGGGCATCAAAATGAACTTCACCACCCTCGCCTGTAGTGACACTGTCATCCCCAGACCCATCAGCGGTACACAAGATTGTTCCTGGCTGTTCGTTGGGGCCTGAATGAATCATGTCGATGTCCTTCTGTGACTCCTCGGTCGCTGTTGTATCATTCCCATTGCCGGCGGGCAGGCACCCCACTTGGGACAACAAAAATTCAGCAGTGTCTGCCATGATCAAATTGGGTATGTGACGGGGGGCGAGAAGTGACGGATTCAGTGCGACAGAAGAAAAAAGGCACCTCCCAATCTTGAGGTTTGTGACACGGTGACTGAGGAAGGCGCAGGACAAGGCCAAGGAGACCAGTAATGGCAGTAGCATGGATGAGATTGGATCATGGACAAAGTGAAAGTGGATGGCAGTAGCTGCTTCAGTAATCGTCCATATGGCCTGGGACAAGAGTAGACGTGAATGACACGAGGCATTGACGAGGGGGCATTGGGGGGGGGGGGGGTCAAGCCTTGAGTGCCAAACCACCTTGTCTGACTTCAAACGATACGCCTGTAAGAAGTTGACGACATGGACTGTTGATCGCAAAGTGATTACTTGTGATGAAAATCCTTGAGCGGACCCGACGTCACTCCTCGTGAGAGAAGAAGAGGTCGAAGCGCAATGGCACACTCTGAGCTCGAGAGAACTGGAAGATGCTTCAGGCAGCGGCTGATGGGAGCTGGCAGTAGGGGGCTACGGAGGCAAGAGGGACAGCAAGAGAGATGTGGCAACTATATTGGTTTGGTTACAACTGGTTCCGAAGGGTAGGGACTGCAAATGAATCCGTATGCCCGTGGTGGTCGCCTGCGGTGGTTGCTCTCGGAGTTCGAAGCCTCCAGTCTACCTAGAAATGCACTGGCTTTACATCATCACCGTCAGCATGCTTACGTTGATACCAACCAGCAGACGAGGGAAACAAGGAACAGGGGCATATTTCTTTCCGGTATCGTATCTTCAATTGACATATATCATACAGCTCGCATTGCTCAAAGTCATAGAAAAGTCTATAGCAGCCTTTTACTCCTCCGAGACAAAAACAAGTCAGGCCGGCAGGCGGTGTCCGGTGTTATGACGACCGACGACAAGAGCCGGACTGGTCCATCCGAGTTGACTGGTTGTGTTGGGTGTTTCCGGTCTCGGTCTCCTTCCGTCTATCGCGGCCACGTTTTTCCGGACGCCTTGGGAAAAGCCTCATGGGTTCCCCATTGCCGTCGGTTCGGTTGTGGGGGAGGGGGCGAGCTTATTTGCCGGGGTTGGAGGCGACGAAGGAGACACCCTTCTCAATGTTCTTCTTCAGGTCGGCCAGGCAGGCCTCGACCAGCTTCTGCTCGTTGGCGTCGACCTCGCCGATGGGGTGGATCTTCTCGACGCCGTTGGGGCCGAGCTCGATCTTGGAGGCGAAGAAGTCGATGCCCTGGTCCTTGTACAGGGGGCTGTCGACAAAGGCGGGCTCGACGACGCCCTTCTCGCCCTGGGCGGCACGGAGGACGCTCTCGGCCATGCGGGCGCCGGCCATGGCCATGGACAGGGTGGCGGAGCCGGCGCCGTCCTTGGCCTTGACGACCTCGTCGCCGCCGAACTGGACGCGGTTGACGAGGTCGGCGTTGGCACTCAGGTCGGGGTGGCTGCTCTGGCTGAAGAGGGGCACGATGGTGACGCCCGAGTGGCCGCCGACGACGGTGATCTTCTCGTCCTTGGGGTCGGTGCCCTTGATCTCGCTGACGAAGCGCGAGGCGCGGACGACGTCCAGGGTGGTGACGCCAAAGAGGCGCTTGGGGTTGTAGACGCCGCGGGCCTTGTAGACTTCGGCGCAGATGGGGACGGTCGAGTTGACGGGGTTGGCGATGATGAGCAGGTTGGCGTCGGGGGCGGACTCGGCGCAGGCCTTGGCCAGGTCGCGGACGATGGAGGCGTTGGTGTTGAACAGGTCGTCACGGGTCATGCCGGGCTTGCGGGGGACGCCGGCGGGGATGAGCACGACGTCGGCGCCCTTGAGGGCCTGGGCGAGGCCGGTAGGGGTGGGGTCGTAGCCCTTGACCGTCGACTTGGTGTTGACGTGCGAGATGTCGGCCGCAACGCCGGGGCCGCCGCGGATGTCGTAGAGGGCGAGCTCGGTGACGCGCGGGTTGAGCTTGAGCAGCAGCGACAGGGGCTGGCCGATGCCGCCGGCGGCGCCGAGGACCGTGACCTTGGAGAGCTGTGCGCGAGGGAAGGACGGACGCCCGGGTCAGTCTCCATTATTTTTTTTTCTTCGCTTCTTTTCCTCCCCGACTGCGATCATCTCACTGCTCTCGGGAGGGCCACAGGCGCTTCCGTCCCGCCCTGGCCTGGCCCCCGAGGCCGCGGCGGGATCTCTGGGAATAGCTTCACGATGCCGAGGGAGAGGGGGACAGATCAGGGAGGACGAGCTAGGACTAGACTCACATCTCTGGCCGAAGCAGAAAAGGCACGTCGCTGGACGGCACCGAACATGGCACGAGCAGCACTCATTATGGCGATTGACTGGGCGTGGGCGTGATCACGGGGAGGAGGCGTGCGGTGGGAAGTGGGTGAGGCTTTTTCCAATGGAATGGGATGGTGAAGGGTGGTGCAAAGAAAAGGGTCGGATCGTCAGATCTCGGGAATTGGATGGGATAGGATGTGGATGGCTGGAAGCTTGGACGGATGGACGGATGGATCCCAAGTTGAGTTCGAGCTTTTTTTTTCCCGCGCCCCCCAGGCCCCCCCCCCCTAAAAGCCAGCCAGCCAACCAACCAGCAGCAGCCAGCCTGTGCTACGGGCGAGCACGGACGCACCCGGCGGGCCCCTCCGGCATTAGTGGGCTTGCCCGGCCTCCCAGCGACCACCGGGCCAGAGGACCACAAAGACCCACTGAAATTCTAACAAAAAGCCAGTTAAGTAAGTAAGTAGTAAGGACGTAAAATTAATATTAAATATTTAATATTAAATTAAATAATTCTTTAAAAATTAAAATATTATATAAAAATAATATATTATATTAATTAATATAATATATTTTTAATAATAATTTAATTATAATTAATATATATATTTAAAATTAATTTTACTTTTTTATAAAATTAATAAAAATATTTTTTATATATTACTTTTATAATTTTATAATTTACGTATTAAAAACGTTTTAAATTAATTTAAATTATTTATTATTATTATTTTTAAATTTTTTTACTTTTATTTTATTATATATATATTATATTTAAATTAATTAAAAATATTATAATATTATTTATATATTTACGATATAAATTAAACTTTTTACGTAAATTTAAAAAGTTTAAAATTTATCTTTTTAATATTATTATTTTAACTTTTAATATTCGTATATTAATAATTAAAAATTTAATTAAATAATAACTTTTATACCCGTTTAAATTAAAAAACGATGTTTATTAATTAAACGCGATTAAATATTTTATTTAAAACGTTTAATTTAATTTAAACTTTTTTATTTATAATTTATTTATTTTTTAAAAAATATAATAATTTAATTATTTAATAAAAAATTATTTTTTATTTAATAAATAATAAGTTTATTTAATTATAAAAATTAATAATTTAAATTAAAATAATTTATTTTTAATTACGTTATTAAATTAATATTAATTTTTTACGTTTTTTTAATTTAAATATATTTTAATTTAATTATATATTTAATAATTAATTTTTTTAAATTAATAATTATTATAATAAAATTTAAAAAGTAATTTATTTTATTTATAAATAATAAACGTTATAATTAAAAATAAATAAAAACGTATTATATTATATAACGTAATTTAATCGTTTAAATAATTTATTTATTTATAAATTATATACATTTTTATATAAATTTTTAAAAGTTTAAAATTTATTTTAATATATATATTATTTTATTATTATTTTATAAATATTTATAATTTAAATATATTATTTATATATTAATTTATCAAATTTATAATTATTATAACGTTATTATTATATATAAAATTATAAAATTAATATTAAATTTACGGATATTTATAAAATTTAAATTAATAAATACCCGATTTTTAAATATTTAATAATATTTATTATAATTAAAAATTAAAAATATGAATAAAACCGTATTTATATACCTTTTATTCAATATTAAAACGTATAAAACCGTATATTTATAATTTATATTTAAAATTAATTTAATTAATTTAATTATAATTTTAATTATATAAATATAAACGTTAATCTTTAATTAAATTAAATTTATTTTATAATATTTATTAACTTTTATATTATTAACTGTTTTTTTAATTAACATTTTAATTATTTATTAAAAGTTTATTTATATATATAAATAATTATTAAATTTAATTAATTCTTAATTTTTATAATATAAATATAATTAAATTTTAATTTAAAATAAATTTTATAATTTTATTATTATTTAAATTATAATTTAATATATAAATATTAAAAATTAAAATAATAAAATATAAAAAATAAAGTTTTTAAATTTTTAAATTTACGTAAAAAAATTAATTTATATTATAAATAAATAAAATAACTCTTTTTTTATTTATACGTAATATTTAATAATTTACGTAATTAATATATAAATTTTAAATTTTTTAAACTTACGTAAAAAAGTTAATTTACATTATAGATAAAGTAAACTTATTAATTTATTTTATTTTTTATTTATACGTGTTACGGTATTATAAAAAGGATCGAGGTTATATTATAAATCTTATAATATTACGAAAAATTTAAAATTGGAGAGGAAAGGAAAAAAAAGCTCGCTTTATAATTATAACGTTTGTTATTTATAAATAAAGTGGATCACCCCTCGTCCTTTATTATAATAACCATTTATATTAACTAACCCGTAATAATACGTAATATTTTATAATTTACGTAATAATATTATAAATATTTAAATTTCAATAAATTAATTAATTTAATTACTTTTAATTTTAAATTATTCTAATATAAATTATAAATAATAATTTATATTTATATTAAATTAAATTATTAAATAATTAATTTAATTTTTTTAAACATTTTTATTTTTATTATAATTTATTTATTATAATAAAGTTTAATAATAATTTTTTTAAAATATAAATATAATTATTTATAATTTAATTTAATATTTATTAATTTTCATTTAAATATTTAAAAATAATTAAATAAAGTAATAAAATAATAAATTTAATTTAAATCTTTATAAAACATTTAAATTTATTTTAATAATAATATTTTTATTATAATATAATTAAATCTTATTAATTAAATTATAATTTTAACTTATTTAATTATTTATATTAAATAAATGACTTTTAATTTAAAAGAAATATATTAAATTTTATTTTAAAGTAAATAACGGTTAAAATATATAATGAATAAAATTTAATTAATTAAAATAACTTAATTAATAAATAAATCGTTTATTTATATATAAAGTTATAAAATTAATATAAATATTTAATTTTATTAAGTTTTATTTTTTATATTTAATATTTATAATTATTTAAATATTTAATATTTTATAAAGTATAAAACTTTTTAATTGTTTTTAATTATTTAAAATTAATTTAAACGTAAATATAAGTTATTATCGTAAATATATTTATTTATATTTATATTTAATAAATAATTATTTATACTTTATTAAATATATATTTAAAGTTATTTAATTATAACTTTATTTATATACGATAATAATTATTTCACTTTTAATACGTTTATTTAAATATTTATAAATATATTATATATATTTACGATAATAATTTATATTTAATATTAAATTCAATGTAATTATTTTAATTAATTTTAAAAAGAATTTAAAAATGAAAAATTTAAAATAATAACATTTAAATATTAAATGTTTTTTTAAATAAAATATAATATTTATCCGTTTTTATTATATTATATAAATTTAAAGTTAAATTTTATATATAATAATTAAATAATAATATTTAAAATTAATCCTTTTTAATTATTTTAATTATTATTAAATAATTAATTTTCTTTATTTTACCGTTTTTATTCAAAGATTATTTTTCGATTTCATTATAATATAATTAAAAATGAAAAAAATCCGTATAAAAAATAAAAATAACGGGGATTTTTAAATACTTTTAAAATATTATACTTAAAATTAAACATTTTAATCGATTATCTTTTTAAATAATTTAATAAATCTTCTTATAAACTTATTAATATATTAATTAATTAATTTACTTTCTAAAAAAATAAAAGGTTTTATTATATAAAATTTAAGTTTGTTTCATATTTAAATTAATTTTTTCTTTAAAAATAATTTATCGTTAAAATTAGGGTTTAATAAGCTTTTTAAAATTTAATTTTTATCGTGTAATTAATTAAAAGATTTTATAAATAAATCGTTTTTTATTTACGATTAAATGTTATTAATTAATTAAAATATAATTAATAATTAATAAATTAAATTAATTTAAACATTTTAATTAAAAAATCAATAATTTTAATTAAAAGAAACCATTTTTTATTAATCTACTTTTAATAAATTAATAAATAATAATAATATATAAGTAAATAAATTATTTATATAATATATTATAATTTTATTCCCTGTTTTTTATTATAATTAATAAATAATAAAATATAAATAAATAGTTTCTTTTTAAAAATATTTTCATCGTCGGGTTTTAATTTAAAAGAATCTTTATTAAAAAAGTGAATGTTTAAATTTATCGTAAATTAAATTAAATTGGGATATTAAAATTATAAAAACTGTTTTTTAAAAATAAAAATTAAAATTAAAAATAAATTAAAATCCATTTTTAAAAAACTTTTTTATATTTTAAATAAATTAAAATAAAAATAAAACGTATTTAAATCGTGTGACTAAAAATAAAACACACGTAAATCGTGTAAATAAATTAAATAATAATAATATATATTAATTAATTAAAGTAATTAAACATTAAATATTATAAAAAAAGGATGGAAATTAATTACGAGGAATCGTAATTTATATAAAATAAATCGGTATAAAATATCGTTTAAATAAAAATAAAAATAAATCCGTTACTTAAAAATTTAAAAATTACGTAATTTAAAATTAAACTTAATTTATAATTATAAAATAAAATTTAAAACTCGATAAATTAATATAATAAATTTAATTATTATTATAATTAAGGTTGTAATTGATTTAATTTAATTTATATTCATTTAACTTTAATTTAATTTAATTAAATTTGATTTGATTTTTAAATCACTTAATTTTTTAAAAATCTTAAATTAAATTCATTAAATTAAAATTAATAAATAATAAATTAATTTATAAATAATTCATTTAAATTAAATTCATTATAATATAAACAATTTATTTTTATAATTTATAAATAAAGGTTTAAATTAAATAAAAAATAAATAAAAATAAATAAATAATAATTAAATTTTTAAAATTAAATTTATATTTTTTAAACATTTAATTTAATTATTTTAATTATTTATTTTATTTATTTTAATTTGTTTAAATATAAATCAATATTTATAATTTATATTCAATTCATTAAAAGTTTAAATGAAAATTAAATTAAATCAATTAATTTATAAAAAACGGTAAATTAAAATTATGAATTTAATTATATTTAAATTCATAACCTTAATTATAATTATTATATTTTAAAATTTAATTTAATTTATAATTATAAAATAAAACTATAAATTTAATAAATTAATAAAATGAATTTAATTAATTATTATAACTACCGTAATTTAAAATTAAACTTAATTTATAACTATAAAATAAAATTTAAAAATTTAAACCGGTATTTAAAACTTAATAATTTAATATAATAAATTTAATAAATCATTTCTAAATATTATATATTATTTATATTAATTTTAAAATTAAAAGTAGAATTTTAAATTTATAATATTTATTTTATAAATTAAATTAAATTTTTTAAATCGGTTAATTTAAATTTAACTTTTTATAATTTATTATACAGTTTTATATATAATTATAATATTTTACTTTTTTTAATTTAATTTAATTTATTTTTAAATACTTTAATAAATTAATAATAATTAATAAATCTATTAAATAATTAAATTATATTTTATATATTTTAAAATTAAAAGTAATATTACGAACATGGCCTCACGAACCCCGACCCCGGAAAGGAACAACTAGAACCCACCAGGCGGCTGACGCGCAACCGCCAGAACAAAAAAACCATGGGACCAATAAGGCAAAGAAGGTCACGTGACATAGATCACGGTCTTGGCAGGTGAGCCAGGACAAAGGATCACGACGAGCCACGAATAAGCCCAGGGGAAGGATCACCCTTAGATCAGAGTGATCCGGGACAAAGGATCACTATAACCATAATAATCCAACCAACATTAATAAGGAAATGAATGGATATATAATGGAAGGGATTTCCTAGCTACATAGACAGTCATTACCTCAGTAATCAATCTAAGCATCTATCTTACCTATAGGTGAGGCCTATCAAGCCTTGACGACTATACTTGTGACTTCGCTCACAGACCCTTATTCTATCTTGTTTAGTATACAGGCTATAGACTATAGCCGCCCTCGAGACTAACGTCCCCTGTTAGCATAAACCCACGTACCTATATCTCTCTACGGTTTATCCTAAAAAGCATATTCGTCACATTTTGATCACTCTTGTTCAGGTACGTTACTCTCGAACTAACTGAGCAATATCTCCATCAGGCAAAATGGCACCATCCACCCCCAGCGGAAGCTCCGTGGACAACCCCACGGGAGGACCCGACGTCCTCAAGATGATACGGCAACTACAAAAAGCCCTCGACACCGTCAAGAATGACAACGAGCAACTCACTACGCAACTCGTTGCTGTCAACAGCACGCAGCGAGGAGGCGGCAACGGAGGTTACAAACTCGCACCCCCCCAATCATACAGTGGGAAGGACGGAGGCATTCAAGGATTCCTCACCCAAACACGAGCCTATCTACGCTTCTATAGCGGGACCATCATCACCGAACCCGACAAGATCCTGTACGTCGCCGGATTCCTCAAAGAAGACGCCCTCGACTGGTTTAAACCAACCATAAGGGATTACCTCAACAACAGCGAGGACCGACAAGAAGACGACACACAGAAGGTGTTCAGCGACTACGGCGAATTTGAGAGACGCCTACGAGCAACCTTCGGCAACCCGGACGAAGTCCGCACTACCGAACGAAGGCTCATGCAACTCAAACAACGCGGATCGGCCGCCAAATACGCATCCGAATTCAAGCAAATCGCATCCAAAACCGAATGGAGCGATAACGATACACTCATAACGCTCTTCTACACAGGACTACGAAAAGACGTAAAAGACGAAGTCTCAAAGGAAGACAGACCCGACGAATTCGACAGCTACGTCGAAAGAATCGTCAAAATCGACAACCGCCTGTATGAGAGAAGACTCGAGAAACGAGGATCCAGGAGCGAGCCACACACCCCGCGCATTAAAGCAAACACCGGGAGGCCGCGACAAAACCACCACCGGGGCAGCGACAACCGACACCCCCCACGCAACCAAGGATGGCAGAATAGAACCTCCTATGGACATCATAGCGGACCAATGGACCTCGACGCGACCAGACACGACAAAGGTCGCAGGGATAAGGACACGGCAAGTGTTACATATTACAACTACGGCAAAAAAAGGCACTACGCCAACAAATACCGACAGGAACGCAAGTTCCAGCCCGTACCGGAAGGCAACCGGCAAGCCAACGCCCTTCACCGAGGAGAGAATAACCATGACACTCTCCCAAACGCCAACAAAACCATCGCGATAATGCGACGAGAACCACTCGGGCCTTACATGGCCGACACCAGCAGCGATAACGAAAGAAACTACCTCATCGCACAAGCCGAGGAAGAGGCACGACAGGACGCCATCAACAACATGGACCCAGCCAAGAAACTCGAGTACAGACTCCGGAACGCGAACATCGAAAACATCCCTCAGCGACTCGAGCAAAGAATCAACTTCCAACAAGAAAAGGCCATAATGATAGCCGGATCGCACCCGTTATCCGCCAACGAGCTACGCAACCTGCTCAACAAACTCCACCACGACATCATGAGGAACCAAGGAAACGACCCTACCGAATTCCGGTTCGGAGATGACGAACGACTGCGACCAAACCACAGGCAGCACGAAGAACTATCGTGGATATCTTGCATCAACGGACTATGCGACTTGCACCTCGCAGAGAAACTGGAACACGAGCTGTTCCCCAGCCGCAATGGGCAGAGAGCCATTACGGAACCCTACGAAGTAGACGAGATCCGTGAGGTAGTGGTGACCTACCGTGACGCCCGAGGTTACGCCGTCCTGACCACGCACCCTCACCGACCGTTTGAATGCCTATCCAAGCAAAGGGCCTGGAAGGACTGTATGAACGATAAATGCCTAGAACACGCAGAACAAAAAGCGACAGCTTGGAGAAAGCTTGTCGA